ACCGGCCCCCCCCCCCCCCCCCGCGCCTCAGCGAGGAAAGCGAAGAACCGGAGCAAGGAGATAAGAGAAAGGATTCAGCCCTCAGGGTTAGGGGGTGGGAACTGCCCCTTCCTCCAGCACAAGTTAAGCCATTGGCTGCTCCTCCTACTTCGAACCCACCCACCCAGCCGTTTAAGCCTCTTCCACCTCCCTGCTACTCTGCACCCCTCCGGGCTTATTAAAACAGTCCCGCAAAGTTGGCGGGCAGCGGGGCGGAGAGGCTCGGTGCAAGCAAGTTGAAGAGGAGGAAGGGAAAGAACCCCAAGCGAAGTTGCATGGCGGGGATCTGGGCGCCAGCCCTGGGCGTAGCTTTCCCCTCCCGCGCCGCCAGCCCGCTTCCCCTTCGACCCTCCCCGCCGCTCCACCTGCCGGGCTACCCCGGGGTCTCCAGCGGAGAGCCGAGAGCACCCGCTCCCCGCATCCGCGCGCGCTCCCGCGAGCACACGCGCACGCGTCGCCACCCTCGCTTGTTTCTCAAAGTTCATTCACAAAACTCTCAGACTTTCCCAGCCCAAAGGGTTAGCCGGGGAGAGAAGGCGAGAGGCTCGCCCCCGCCCCACCCCCGCCTTCCCCCCTTGGGGCTGAGGGCCTGGTGCCCGCCCAGAATCTGCGACAGCATCAATTCCTCCCTGCACCCGGCGGATGTGCTGAGAGGGGTGGGCGAAGGAGGACGGGTGCGGGGAGAGGTAAGGGGGAGCGGTGAAGAGGAGGAGCAGGGTTTGAGCTCTGGGGTTCACTCTCTCTGATAGGTATCTAAGCAAGGGAGAGGGGAAAAAACTTTCCCAGCACCTCACTCCGACGCTCCTCAAGGCTCCCTCCGCCCCTCGCAGTCGTGACTGGCTTCTCCCTCTCTCGCCCCCTCCTCCCCAAATCTGACAACCCTGACAGATTAACAGGTAGCGACGACGGCAGCTTTTTTTCCCAGAGAAAAGTTGACGTTAACCCTTCGGCTTCAGCTCACCTCCCCTGCCGTGCAAATCAGACCCTCACATCTCCATGGAAGAAGCTGCACGCCCCCCCACCTCACGCGCGCCCCGCGCCCGCTGCCAGTGCGCCCTCACCATGATCAGCGTGTGGTTCCTCTGCTCCGCCGAGGCAGCCTCCGCATCTTGCTGGGGTTTGCTCGGGTGCTGCTGCTTGCCGGTGCCGGCGCCCGATTTCTTGGCCCTCTGCTCCAGGGTCCGCTGGTAGAGGCTCACGGTGTCCCGGCGCTCCAGCTCCAGCTGCTCCACCTGAGCCTGCTGGTACCTGTTCTCGCAGTTGACGTGGTGCCGCCGGCAGCCT